AAAAAAAAAAAAAAAAATGTAAAAAGAAAAACGAATATATAAAAGAAAAAAGAAAAAAAAAAAAGAAATATAAGAACAAAGAAATTGACATTGAAATTACATCGACGTTGAAATTAACAATTTAAAAGGAAGCAATATTATTACACACCATCACCATCACGATAATAATAGGTGTGTGCACGTTGCGATAATAACGATGACGACTATATTGATATTTTCTTTTTAAATATTTCCGTGTATTTTATACTTTGACAAAATATCATTATTATTAATTTAAGACTTTTTTATGCAAGAATGAAAGCGAGTAGCCCCAAGAGAGAGTTTATGGAAGATCGGTGTATGGAAGCGTGTGAATTTGTGTATATCTCTATCTGTATATGTAATGCGTGAAAACTCTTAACCTTTTCCGCTTGAAGTCCACAAATCTTCCTAACGAGGACACCATTGTAACATTAGATCTCATGTCATCGGTCTTTACTTTTGGTGCGCTTTTATGCTTTACCCTTTACGCTTGATGTTTTCTAATGAAGAAATCATGTGTTTTTCAATTGTAAATACAAATATTATTATTATTATTTGTATTTATATAATTTAGTAAGAACCTTCTATAGTTCTTTAAACAAACAAGTCAATTCGTTTAATTAAATGCAACGAAAGAATTGTAATACTCAATCTTTTATAATATATAATGTAAAATCACGATTGTATTTTTAAATAAATTATTTGTATGACTTCTAGCGGAAAAATTATTTGATAATAAATTGGTTAAAAGTTTAATAATATCGCGAAATAATAAATAGTAGGCGAAATATTATTGTTAAGTAATGCACTAAATACAAAATTATCATCGTGCTCCTCGCGCCCGCCGCCACACTTTGCCTAGAATTATTTTGTCAGGCGGCTAATTAAAAAAACACATTTTGTTGTTTGTGTTCTCTCGATTATATTTTTCTTAACACGCGCGCGTAAACACACACACACACACACACATAATATACAAATATGCAAAGCCGAAAGAGAGTGAGAGAGACAGACAGACAAATAAAATAAGATACTTTCAAATTTATATACGTCGGATAGATTTTTTTTCTCTTAAAATTCTTGAACACTATGCAATATTCGAATTCATGCTTTATTCATTTTATCATTTTAATCATTTTATTCTTTTATTTTATATACTTTTTTTCCTTTCGGAAATAATTTTTGTTTACTCTTGATCAATGAAATCACATATTTTTCAATTGTTTTATTGAAAAGTTCTCGACGTTCGCGATGTGTGTGTGGTACTACTATAGTAGTTGTGTAAGAATTTTCTTTTCATTTGATTATTCGTATAATTTGTTAATTAACTTTACATATTATTTTTAGTCGAAATTATATTTGTTTCCAAATTTTGTTTTGCGTTTTAATTATTTTTCTTTTTTTTTTTCTTTTCTTATTGTTTAATCATTTTCATGGGGAGTTTTTCTTTTTTCCCCACCTCTTTATTATTTTGTTAATTTGCGAAGCAAAAAATTAGAATATTTTACATTTTAGGTTTAGACAATTGTAATTTAGTTTTATCATCGTTTAAGTAAAAGACAAATTATTAGTGTGTCTCTATTTGAATAATAATTTCTCTCTCTCTCTCTTTTTTTTTTTTTTTTAAAACAGCTTCCAATAAAATGTTTACAAAGAGCGTTCGTATATTTGCATAAAAATTATGATTAGAAAATACTTTTATGTTAATTGTAATTTTTCTGTCAATGTGTGTGTTGTCAGATTTAATTGAAGTTCCTTTTTATGTGAGAGTAATGATTAAGGGTGTATCAAAATAAAAAGAGAATAAGTAGTATACGTAATAGAGAGTTATATTATGTCTATTCGTGGCAATTATCATCTAGTCGTTATCATTTCCTCCATTGTTCAAATATAAATATGTTTTTAAGGAAAAAAAAACAAAAAAAAAAAAAAAAAAAAAAAAAAAAAAAAAAAACAAAAAAAAAAAACAAAAATTCTATTGGCCATAAATAAATTTTCAAAACTATTTATATTTTTTTCTATACGAATCTCTTCATTAATAAATATATTTAACGTTCCTTACACAAATAATAGTAAATCAATCAAATTTCTCTATTATTTTACAATTGGAGATTCTTAATACCAAATCTTGTTAATTAATATACATTTGAAATTGAATAGTATTTTGGAATTTTTATCTAATTAANTATGTATGTAGATGCATCATTCAAAGTATCAATACATCATATCATATCAAAAAATCAATTACAATTACTTTCTATATATTATATATTTCTTCTCAACTATAAAATGTGTTTCTAACATTAAGATTTGTTCTAAATAATTATTATCATTAATAGAACAATTGATCTTTTTAAAACGTTTTTGTTTTTTTCTCGTTTGTTTGATCAAAATATACATATGCTCTTTTCTTTTTTTTTTTTTGTTTTTTTTATGTACATTATTTAATTCATATAAATTTTATTTCTTGTGTGTATTATGATATTAAAACGATACGAAAAACAAAAACAATAAAAAAAAGGAAGAAGAAGAAGAAATCATTGTTCCGTCATATAATTTTGTTTAATCTATATGTATGTACTTTAAAAATCTTATTTACAAGTAAATATTAAAATAATATGCGCAGGTAGTATTATTATTATGTACATCATTATCATCTTCAATCTTTTTTTTTGGTTTTTCATTTTATTTACAAAGATACAACGAAGTTATATCGAAAATCAAGGGATTATTTTGATACGATGAGACCCGTAAATCATATCAAAAAAAGAGAAAATTATTTTTCATTTACGATAATATAATAATAATAATATGTGATCACAATAATAATACGATAATGTTTATTATTTTATGTACGTATGAGTAAATTGTAAATGCGTATCCGTTGTTTTTCGTGATTTTTCAATCGAAGATATTTCTGTGCGTCGCGGAACAACAACAACAACAAAAAATATCAAAAAAAAGAAGAAATACGATTGAAAAGAATTTTGATAGTTTTTCTTTTTGTTTTTTTTTTTTCAGTAGATTTTTTTTTCTTTTTTTTTAAAAAGATAAATTACAATAAATTATACACGCGCGAATATATAATTTGATCGATAAAATAATAAATATATATAAAAGATAGAAATAATTAATTCCTTTGTAATAAATGTAAGAATGTTATTTGTAGAAAATAGAAATTGAACGATGACAATGAGAAAGAAAAAAAAAAAAAAAGAAATGATAAAAGTGCCTAACGTTTTAAATGCATGTGACATTAATTTAGATATATTTTCAACGCAGTATTAGATATCCGAGTTTGGCGTTATCGTAACAAAAAAAAAAACAAACATAATGCGTATACATTGCATTGCGAATGAATAAATACAGTTTATAACAAGTAAGTATAAATTAACAAGTATACTTGTAGTATACGCATGTTTAATATTAAATTCTAACAAATTTGTTTTTTCTTTTTTTTAGCAAGCGGCTAAAGGCAATATAAAGATACGAAATTCGCCGATTTTTAAATAGTACTCAATAACAATACTGAAATATTTCTTGGTAATGTACAACGTTGAGTCCTATCTTCTATTAAGTTTGCACCAAAGCGCGCTAGCTGTGAGCAAGTGCATAAGTATACCGATGCCAATGATCAATATCAAATTATTGATCACATTTGTATCGTTGATTTCCAATTCTTTTAAAAATTTCATTGGTTTCTTATAATGACAATAAAAATCATCGCAAACTAAATCCATTCTGTCGAATCCGTAAACTGTATAAATGAGACTATGAAAACTGGCACGAAAGTAGGATATGTGAAATATCCAACGAAATACATGAGGGGTATCCATGTACGTAACGCAAAATCCAAAAACGGAAAATAGTACTGCGAGAATGGGCCCTACGAAGACAGCAATCTAAAATAAATAATAATTAATATCAATGATTAAATAATATATTCATTTTAAGAGAGAATTAAAATGGAGCACCTTGTGACTTATCATTTATTTAAAAGAATTACCTTAACTGGCGTAGTCGCGCCAATGAAAAATCCCCATGCTTGTGCTGTCAATGTCGCAGATATGCTGACTACCATAAAAAATATAATACGATAAGTTTCTATGGGTTGTCCTGTTAACCAATAACTTATAGTCAGATAAGTTCCAGCACAGGCAGCTTGGAATGGTATTTCAATGAGTAGCATACTGATGTAATAGGGTGCCAGTTTGTACCACTGATTGAAATGTTCCCTAGAAAGAATTTTCATTTCCAGGGGGACTGCGGAAAGAAAATTTATATATATATGTTATATCATGAAAGAGTGAAATTGAAGAATGTCAAGATTCACACGTTAATGTCCACATATAACAAATATGTCGGAGAAAGATCGAATATTTTGTTTTATTCTTATACATTAATCTTTTAGTAATAAATATATATATATATTACTAATTGATTTATTTTTTTAATCAATTATTTATCAATCATAATAAAATAATATATATCTATAAGATTTTCACATTTGTATGTATGTAATACTTACAGGCAAGAGTAACCGCCATTTTTCCAGTATAAACGATTAAAAGTAAGGAACCGTACAAGTAAACGTAATTAGCAAGAACACCATTAGCGCGATAACCACTTCCCATATAAAGGTATCCAAATATAACACCAATGAGCAAATGACAAAGTAACCGTATCATCAAAAGCGTGTAATCTCTTTTCAAGCTTATTAATTGTCTTTTATAAAGAAGATAACATTGTGTTAAAAAACTCGTAGCAGGTGTTTGCTCCATAATGATATCATCTGTCAAAAATTAGATTAGATTAGGGGATTTAAACGTTTAGAAATTTGTATGAAAAACATTTCTAACACAATTGAAATGAGATAAAAGAAAAAGAATTTTTTTTTTTTGTAGACATTTATTTACCTTTGGAAGTATCTTTGATTATTTTAGGTGCAATCTGCGTGGTTGTTCCCTTGTCCCATCTACTTTCAACAGCAGCTGTTAATTTATCAACCGATATACCATAATCACCGATTGCAACTTCGATTACTGTTAAAAAAGAAACATAATAATTCACATTGTTAATTATATAAATTATTAGATAGGATTTACAATTAGATAGAAATCTTGTTGAGTTATTAATACTTACAAAAATCTGCTGGATTGTGATAAGCTGGACAATTGATACCGATTGATGTCAAATGTGGTAACAGGGAATGAATTGGGCCCTTGTATATACAATGACCATTTGCCAAAGCGTAAAGTGCATCGAACATTTCGAAAATTAATGCACTCGGTTGATGTATCGTACAAATTATCGTACGTTTTTCCGTTCTTGCCAATCTTTTCAACAATGCTATGCATTGGCTACAGGACATTGAATCTAAACCTGATAAAAAGATAAAGAAAACAGAAGAAGAAAATAACAAAACAATAAGAAAAAAACAAGTAATAAAATGAATGTTGTGTCAATGAATGTAACATTAATATCATGCAATAAACAAATTCAATTATATTATAGAAAGAGAGAGAGAGAGAGAGAGAGAAAAAAAATGAGAGAAAAAAAGAAAGAAAGAAAGAAAGAGTTATGTGATAATAATATGAAAGAAAATAATAAATCACCGGTAGTTGGTTCATCAAGAAATATTATTGACGGATTGCTGAGTAACTCTAATGCAATATCCAATCGTTTCTTTTGACCACCGGATAACCTTCCACATAGAGTGTCGTAACAATAACTCAGACCCAATATTTCCAAAAGATTCAATACCTATGACATTTAAAAAAAATATATATATTATTATCAATACACTGTATATAAGTAAACCTCAATCTCGCGTTAAAAAAAACAAACTTAAAGGATGAATTTTTATATTGGGGGGAGTTGTTCCACAAGAATCGATTATTAAATGTTAATTAACTTGTTTTACATCCTTGATTTAGAAATCAAGTCTTTTAATAAATATCATCATCAATAACCATGATGAATGATTATTTGAAATAGAAAAAAAAAAAGAAAAAAAGATAATAATTATTCGCTTCTTTTTTTTTTCTTTTTTTGTTACTATTGCAAAACTGTCGAGTAGTTGAGTACCATTAAAGATAATGAGGTGGGAAAGGGGGGCGTCCGGGGGAAGGGGATAAATAGAAAAAAAGAAGAAGAAGAAGAATAAGAAAAAAATATATAATACCTGTGTATGTTTGTAAGCCGAACTTATGTTATTGCCCAACTTCAAGTGAGCTGTTATGGTCATAGCTTCTCCAACTGTTATTCTTCCTCTTACTAAGCAATCCTGTTGTATATAACACGACGTTCTTTTCCATTTTTCACTGTGAGCTACTCGAACTTTCCCATTTACTAGAACCTCGCCGTTCATACCTTTCAAACTGTGTGTGTGTGTGTGTGTGTGTGTGTGTGTGTGTGTGTGTGTGTGTGTGTAAAAATAATAATGAGATATTATATTTGATAGAAATGAATTGAACGAATGAAAAAGAATTAACATCTTATTAAGTCAAGAATAATTTGAATATTTTTTAGTATATCCATTTTTCTTTTTTCGTATTATACTTTTTTCCTATTAATTTTTTTTGTATTATACTTTTTTGTATTCAATATCCATCATCGTCTACGTCGTCGTCGTCGTCGTCGTCGTAATCTTTTCGCAACATTGTTTAATCAATGAATAAAATTATTGATCGTATTGTTACTTCGTCAATTGTGAAATTTGTATGACTTTTTACTTATGTACGAATAATTATTGTTTTTTTTTTTTTTTTTTTTTTTTTTTTTTTTTTTTTTTGGTTT